ACCTGACACCATTGGACTCCTTTCTCTCCAGGAATTTTTTTTCCTCCCCCTCCCTACAGACAGGCTTCTTCACCGGATGGTTGGTCATTGTGGATACTAGAGAAGAAAAGGCTCCTCTCTTAGTCTCTCTTAGAGAAATTTCAGGAGAGCATTTGATTGGCTTGATCACACACCCATCTTCAGCAACCAAGGAAGGCCTGGACCCCACTCTGATCATGTAGCAAGTTTAAGAAAAGCCATAAAGTCCCAAAGAAAACTCAGGGATATTGTCGACCCGTGTCTATAATCAGAATCTGACCAAACGCTTTGGGCTATAATAGACAGAACCCAAGTAGGAAAACTAAAGGGTTTGCCAGGAGCCAGTGACTCATTCCTGTAATCCTAGCTACTCAAGAGGCTGAGATCTTTTGATCTTGGTGCCAAGCCAGCCCAGGCAGGAAAGTCTATGGCACTCTTATCTGCAATAAACTATCAAAAAACTGGGGGTAGAGCTGTGGCCCAGGAGGTAGAGCGCTAGCCTTGAGCTAAAATAAATAAATAAATAAATAGCCCTCAGGGACAGCATTCAGGCCCTGAGTTCAAGCCCCAGGACAGGCACCAAAAAATTAAAAGTTAAAAATTTAAAAAGTAGAGGGTAGAGAGTAGAGTGAGTGTTCACTTCTGGTTTGTAGATTCAAAGGGTAATCTATGAAGCTGGCTTCAGCAACAGGGAAATCAGTCCCCGCCCCTGTATACTATAAACTCACGTTCTTAAGCTTCTACTTCTCCTTGCATCTTTACCTCATTTTCCCACATTCAGCTTTTCCACAGCAAGGACAACAGTAACTGAGAGCTTCCAGGCTCAACTCCTCTCAGTTCTATTCAGTTCAAGGAGGACTTGTGCCCTCACTTACAGCTCCAATGAAGGATGTGCGCAGGTACATTCTGATTGGATGAAATTCTGATCTCTTGGGCCAGTCACAGTCACCTCAGTGGTGAAAGGTACCATGATTGGTCTAACTTCAATGAGATACTGAACTCAACACCAGGATGAGAGATCACTAGGACAAAGGCAGCACTCACTCTACTGGAGTAGCTCCAGAAACAGTTCTCTAAGCCCACAAACCACCACATTAAAATAAAGTCCCCGGAAATGTGAAATGATGCCTTAGCAACATGACTTTGGACTAACTACTTTGGCCTACATTCACTCAACTTTTTTCCATGAGTCTCCAACGTCAGGATGGACCAGAATAAACTGACAGGCCATTTAGTAAAAGACAAAGACTGATACTATCTGGAGAGAAACCGGAGTAGAATGCAGATTCCTAGGCTCCCGATTTGTTTGAGATAAGAGTATCTCTAACATTTTGTCCATGCTGACCTCAAACCTCAATTCTCCCAACTAACTGGGGATACAGGCATGTACTACCATACCCAACCAGGTGTTTCTGTTTCAATGAGGAACAAAACTCTCTAGCCAAATGATTGGTTCTACACCAGAATCAGCACTGATCAGTGAAGTTCCAAAATAATCTTAAAAGGCAAAGCACTATTCCAGGGTCACCCTCTAGAAAGGGACCCTTTGCTATGGATGTGCCTAAGGACGGCCGGCCTGTGGGCCAGCTGGAGGTAGCCTCCGGGAGTGAGGCCAGGACCAGAAGCATGCTCTCTCAGAGCCTGTTCAGAAATGCACCTGCGGAATCTGCAACTGGGTCCCCACGAGATCCCAGGTGATCTCTGCTCGCTCTCAGCCCAGATGGAAAGGCACAGCTGAATAGAATTCAACCTAAGGAAAATAAAGCAAGTCCCCCAGCTGTGGCGATCCAGGGCTGTGCAGGGAGCAAGGCTGGCCTGGCGGCGCGCTGCCTTCGCTCCTCCATTCCAGGCTCGCCATCTCCATCTCCAGTGACAGGGCCCCTCCATCTCCGCTCCCTCCCCCTCCCCAAGGGGCCGCAGAGCTGGAGCTGGCAGAGCCTGCAGAGGGGCCTGCAATGTCCATTCCTCAAGAGCTGTTATTCAAGCCCCAGCAGCGTGTGCCAGGGTCCCCGGCCCGCTCGGGGTCGCTCTCCGGGGGAGACGCACATCTGGCGCTCACACAGCCTTTTGTGGGAAGGCCTCAATGGCAGCTCTGAGGCCGGCCCACAGTGGCCTCCCTGTGCTCCCGGCATGATGTCATGAGCAGAAGTGTCCTGACAAACACTGAAGACGGCACCCATCGCATGGTAGACATTGTACAGAGACACAGTGCCACGCAGACACAGCCAAACCTTGTTCTATTGTTGGGCAAGTCACCGATTCAGCGCAAATATGGAAGCTGTGTTCTTCACACAAGCTTTGCTTTCTAGTGCTGTCGTTGTGACTCGATTCACAGTTTTCCCTCTCCTCCCCCCCCCCCCCCTCTAATTTAGTTTCCATCCAATTCTTGGAAAGCAGGAAGAGGACTGGGTCATTTTAATCTAAAGCTCTTCTGCATGCTGTCTCTGCAGAACAGGCCAGGGAAAGAGGAGAGCCAGGATTCTGATTCTCAAAATCGCCTGCCCAAAACCTAATGACCCTTAGAGAGAGGACAAGGAATGATCAGCTAATCACACCCCAGGAAAACGTGGGAAAGAATTCTTCCCATGGAGTATTGTTCAATTTGCATCCCTTCTAGATCTTCACAGTAGCTATTCGACCTTGAGAAATGCCATAACCCTATCTTTACATCTCAATTTCCTCCTTTATATCAAGACTAGGGGAAAAAATAAACATATGAGACCTGACACAAACAGGTCTCAACTTCATAGCTCCAATCCTTTGGGACTGTCATTACCTATGATTGGGAGATTCTTGTTTCACCTTTATTCTAATTAATCAAAAAATTACAATTGCCAAATTCTAAGAGAACTCTGAATTCCTCTTGCCAATTACCAAGACAGAATTGTCTCACAACTGTGCTATCCAGTCCAATAGCCAGTGTACTAGCCTCCTTGAAATGGGGCTAGTACAAATTAAGATATGCTGTAAGCACAAAAAAAAAAAAAAAAAAAAAAAACACCCTGGAACCAAAACATGCAACATAAAAAAGGCAGCATATCTCATGAAGTGATCGTACACTGAAACAATCATCTTTTGATGTACCATATCAAGTAAAATAGATTTCACATTAATTTCATTTGTATGGTTTTAGTTTTTTAATTGTGACTTGTAGCCAGGCATGAGCCTGCCTATGATCCAAACTACTCAGAATGCTAGGATCTGAGGATCAACGTTTGAAGACAGCTGGGCAGACAAATCCAAGAGACTCATCTCCAAGTAAACAGCCAAAAGCCAACAGTGCAGGTGTAGATCCAGTGGTAGAGCTCTAGGCCTACATGAAAAAGCCAGGTAAGAGCACAAGGCCTTGAGATCAAGCCCCAACACTGACTCAAAAATCGGAAGAAAAAAAAAAGAGGATGGCTTCTAGAACATTTCAAATTGACTATATGAACATTTACCCTCCACTTACAAAATAGGATTCCCTGATTATTGTTGGACAACAAAAGCTAAGGGACACATGAGGTTCCCCTCTCATGCTTCAGGAGGACTGGAACTCAGGGAGCTCCCCTGCAGACTGGGGAAGGAAGCAAGTGAGAGGTGGCAAGTCCCGAAGAGAGGAGGGCTACAGTGCCTGATGATGCCTTTGCTTTGTGATGAAGAAGCAAGTGGACCTGACGCTTTACTTCTCCTTTCCCCTTTAGCCATTTGCTCCATTCAGATTTGCAGTCCATATACCTTGACAAGTTGCTGGTGGTTGTTCTTGTGTCGGTACTGGGCTTGAACTCAAGGCCTGAGCACTGTCCCTTAGTTTTTCTGCTCAAGGCTAGCACTCTACCACTTGAACCACAGCTGCATTTCCAGCTTTTGCTAGTTAATTGGAGATAAGAGTCTCATGGCTTTGAACTTTGATCTTGAATAGCTGGGATTACAGGTATGAGCTACCAGTACCTTGCCTCTGACAAGTTCTAATGAGGTAAGAAAGGCCCTCTAATAGAGTCACATGACTTAGATCCTTATGAAAACTGGATCATTGCAAGACAAATATTTGTGTCAACAGGAATCTTGTCTTTTCTGCCTAGGTAATTTAGATATAACTATAACTATAATAGCTCTAATGCACACAATTTTCTGCACATGACTATCCTAAATGACTATTTGCAAAGAAATGTTTGCCAATGGTTAAACTACAAGCTAATGAAATTAGTATTCTATTTGGGAGAAATTTGCCAAGATAGATTGTAATCCACTTTCTTATAAATTGACAGAAATACTGGAATGCAAAATAAAAGTCAACTCAATGTTTCTTTGTATTCAAAATTTCCAAAGACCTACATATTTATGTTTGCACAAAGTCCTTGTGAGTATTATAACTAAAGGTTCAATATAATGGGTTTATTTTTCTGTACTAAATATTCCAAAGACATTAAGGATTTTTAACTGTATCAGACTTAAAATTTGGTGTGCTGTGGCTGAATATTCATAATATCAAGAGACCATAAAGTTATTCCATTTAAGAAAGTCTATGAGCTGAGCGCCAGTGACTTACACTTATAATTCTAGCTACTCAGAAGGCTGAGATCTGAGGATTGCAGTTCAAAGCCAGCCTAGGCAGGAAAGTCCATGAGACTCTTATCTCCAATAAACTACCAAAAAGAAAAAAGCCAGAAGCAGAGCTGTGGCTCAAGTGGTAAAACACTGGCTTGGAAAAAAAGGTTAAGGACAGCACCCAGGCCCTGAGTTCAAGCCCCAGGACCAGCAAAAAAGAAAAAAACTCTATGAACTTCTGGGTTGTATCTTTATGATCACACATTAGCACCATGATACAGTTAATAAAATTTAACTTCCAAATTTATTCAAGTTAGCATAGAATGGTTTTTCTCGATTACTGATCAGATTCAATTTAACCAATTGCTGAGCTTTTTTTTTTTTTTTCAAATCCATAGATAAAACTTCTGGATGCAACAAAAGAGCCAAGGCTGGTTTTGCAGAGTTTGTTATTTTATTGCACAGATTTCACTTGAAGAACAAAATGCACCATCCGTGTTTGGAGAATAGAAGGTGGGGGGGGAGGGTGTCTCAGAAACTGATACACCATGAGTGTTTACACCCGTACAAGCCAAATTCAACAGTACAGCTTATGTTACACATATCACTTCAACATGGCTAATGGAATGAAAAGTAAGGGGGGGGGGAAGCTTTAAAATGTGTTAATTTGAAGCATATGCAAAAAGTAAGATTGAAACAATAAAGATATCATCATACAAACCTGGGAAATCAAAAGAAAAAAAAGTATGGTGGAATGTCAGCTCAAGGTCTACTCACTTGTATTGTTATGTATTGCATAGTTAAAAGTCTGCTTGGTTCATTTCCTTCATACTGATGAACTGAGAAATTCAGGAAGACCATGGTTATGTGTTTTTTTTTTAATAAAAAAAATGATCCATCTTGAAAAAGTATGTACAGATAAATGGAAGATCACAAACTAAAAAAAAAAAAAAGAGAGCCCGGTTCTCGCCCTTCAAGATAGGGAAGTTTTCCCATGCAGAGAAAGTTCCCCAACTCCCTTCCCTCCCACGCGGGTTCCTACTTCTAGTCTTTGCTGTCTCTTGGGAGGGGAGGACCTGGGATGCACAGAAGCAAACCGCGAGGCGTCTTGGGAGGCGGCCATTGTCCTGTGTAACGGCTGGAAACGTGGTCTTTTATTTCTCTCCCCATCCACACCCGATTCAGCAAATGTTTGCAAGGTATTTAGAGAGAAACGAAATAATCGTGTGTTTTTTAATCAACAACAAAGGAATGTCCAAGAAGGGAGAGGGAGAGAAAAAAAAAAGGAAGAGGAGCAAGAATATGAGAAAACTATACTATGGACGTGACCTAAACTAGAAATTTCTTTTAAGGCAACCCAAGGGGCGGTGGGGCGGAGAGGTGCGAAGACTACAGAGCATGCCAGGCGGGGTGCCCTCTGGATCTGTGGCTTTGGTGCCTGGCCCAAGGGGAGCCCTCCCCGCCTTACCCTCCCCCCCCACACATACACACTGCAGCAAGCAAACCCAAGGCCCGGGGGGGCCCCCAATCGACAGCACCTGGGTGGAGCCGCAGCGCGCTTACACGTGGGCGCTCTTGGCGTGAGTGGGAGAGCTGGAGCCCGAAGCGTAGTAGAAACGGTTTTCACCGAAAGACTGGGCATCTCCGGAGCAGCAGACGATCACGCAGCCCCCGACCAGACACAGCACCGCGCCGATCCAGCCCGCGTACAGGGAGTAGCCGAAGCTCACGATGGTGGTCTCGCGGTGGGCGCACACGGGGAACCAGATGGTGGCCACGATGGCACAGAGAGCTGGGGAGACACGGAGAGCAGGTCCTCCACATGGGTGCGAACCCCTTCATGCGCCCCGCAGAGGCATCCACCCCCCCCCACACACACACACACACACCCGCCAAGCGCCCACTCCACCCCGAAACACTAGCCACACCGCTCTCTCTTGGCCAGGGCAACCTGCAAGTGCGAATCTATAGGATGAATTGACTCCCGCCTGGAACTCTAGCTACTCAGGAGGCTGAGACCAGAAGATCGAGGTTCAAAGCCAGCCTGGGGATGGAAAGTCCTTGAGACTCTTACCTTCAATTAACCAGTGAAGAGCTGGAAGTGGAGGTGGTGGAATGTATGAGAGGAAAAAGCCAAATGAGAATTCAAGGCCCTGAGTTCAAGCCCCATAAGCAACACAAACAAAAACAAAAATGAAGTGGAGGGAAAAAAACTGGGTCTCATTTTTTTCCCCCAACAGGTGACAAAGACAAGAGAATCCCCAATGCAAACCTAGAAATCATCATTTAGGTTCAAAACAATATATATTTATCTCTATATGTTTAGATACCATTCTAATTCTTCCACTTACCTAGTCATACTATCATTTTTTCTTTGCGTATGTATTTCCCATGTGCTGGACTGTAAGTTCTTTGAAGGCAAGGGTCCCTCCTGAAGACTCTATCTCCTCATACCAGGCACATTATACGAGCTCAATGTACACTAGCTGAATGACTAGATGACCTGAGCTATCAGAGGTGGGAAGCAAGATGATCCCCACCTCAGTGTTCCCTTTGATTTGTTTTACTTTTGTCAGCTCAAATGACAAGGACCTGAAGAAGCTGCTGCCATTTTTCTTGCTACAGCAAACATTGTTGGACATGATTGGAGGACCAGGTGAGTATCTGAGTTAGTTTTGTTCTGCTGTTCACAATCACAAAATCCCAACACACAAATGAACAGTCCTGTGAGTAAAAGAATTCATCTATCCAAAGGGATGGAAAGGGGAAACAACGAGGAGGCAACAATGCTTGATAAGAAATGTACTCGTTATCTTGCCCATGTAATTGTAACTCCTCTGTACAGTATTCTCACAATAAAAAATAAAGAAAAGAAAATTTAAAAAAAAAAGAATTCATCTATCCAAGAATTTTACAATGATATTTTTCATGATGGTAGAATTTAAGATCTTTCACCAAGGTTTAGATTCTAATTTTATAGGTTAAGATGCTATACACTGGATGGCTCCCACCGATAAACCTAGCTACTCAGGAAGGCTGAGATCTGAGAGTCACAGCTAGAAGCCAGCCCACACAGACAAAGCTGAGACACTTATCTCCAATTAAACAGCAAAAAGCCAGTCATGCACTGGTGGCTAATGGCTGTAATCCTAGCTACACAGGAGGCTGAGAGCTAAGGGTCGTGGTTCAAAGCCAGCCCAAGTAGGAAAGTCCATGAGATTGTATCTCCCTAAACTACTCAAAAAAAAATTTTTAACCAGAAGTGGAGCAAAAGAAGCTCAGGTATGGCACCCAGACCATGAGTTCAAGACCCATGATTGGTACAGAGAGAGAGAGAGAGAGAGGGCAAAAATCCAGGCGTAGAGGTGTAGCTCAAGCAGAAGAGCACCAGGCCCTGAATTCAAGATGACACATTGCATTGCCACTTTGGGTGCCTTGTCACTTCTAGCTCAGCAGGATTTTTTTCCCTAATTTTTACTCATAGTAGTTTTCTAACCTATCCTTTGTGCCCGCTGAGAAAAAATAATACATTTTTTCTTTAACACAAGCTCTCAAATAGAATAGCCCATACATTTGTTCTTAAACTGAAGGGAAGATTGATGTCTTACAGGCTTTGAAATACCTTAAACTATCTCACTGAGTTTTTTGTTAACAACAGACTGAAGACCATGCCCATGCTGAGTATAAATAAACAGATGTGATTCCAATCCCAAAAATGTTCTGGATCCCAGGCCCAGACAGACATGATGGTGTACACCTGTAATCCCAGCCCTCAGGAGGCTGACGCAGGAGGACTGTAACATAGTTACACACACACACACACACACACACACACACACACACACACACACACACACCACAAAAGAGTATGAAACCCACAAGTAGGAGTGATCGGCAAGAGAAGAGATTTAAGGAACTTTTAATTGTCCAAATATAGTTTGTTAGCATCCTAAGTTCACCTCATTAATTATGATCTACACAAGGACTTTGTATTGATTAAATGAAATGCTAAATTCCCTCTCTGCTGCTCTGTGTATTAAATTTTTGAGATAGTGTCTCGCTAATTTTTGGCTGGCCTCAAACTAGCGCACTGGACCTGCCCTAAGAAGCTAAAATATTTTCAGTAAATGGTTTCCTTTCTCTTACAGATTAAACACAAGCACACCTATTTCTGTAACATTGTTATAGGAGATACCATGGGAGGAGAGATTTTCTTTCCATGAAAAAAAAAAGACCAACATTTAGAGTGCCTTTCCTCCTTCCCCCAACACCCATTCCTGTTCAAGCCCAGAGCTGCCAAAACTTCATAGACAGGGTGAATTCTTTTTTTCTCTCCTCTTTTAGCCATGAATTCCAAATCAGGCACTCCTGAAGCATTTCTTGACTACTGTGTCAATCTTGCGATGAGGCACTGATAATAGCATTTTTCTCTGTAAAGACAGGACCAGAAATCCTTTCCTAAAGTGTTAGAGCCAGAGAGAACTCAGAATCCACAACTACCATAGATTCACACAGCAACACACAATCCAGCACCCACACCAGACCCCCCAAAGTGGGCATTTGATCTGCTGAGGGCAAGAACTTCCAAACACCAACTGTTTAGAGAAAAAGAGCGGGGAGTGACAAGCTAAATTACATAGGAAAAAGGTTTCATTCCCAAACAACTGATTACATACAGTCCATCCAATCAATCTCCATAAACAATTAACTTATTTCAAAACAGCTTATGGTTCAAATTAAGTTTTATGTTGTTTTGATTACTTTGTGTTAACTCCTACAATGCCATCACAAAAGATTTCCCCACATCTTACAAAACAACTTTCAGCCTTAGTTTAGATTTTATAGAGTAAGACCAAAATGCTGCCTCTCAATTCACTTAATTCTTTCCCACTTCCTAAGCAAAGTAATAAAATAAGATTACCTTCAGGTAAGAAAAGAATCAGACTTAAGATTCCAAAAGTAACCAACAGTTGGTTTTACATGTTTCAGAGATTTTGCTAGGTTTTATTGTAATATAACTCATTAGAAAAAGCCAAGCGCAGGTGGCTCATACCCTTAATGCCAGCTACTAATACAGAAGGCCTAGGTCTCAGGATTGAGGTTCAAAGCCAGCCCAGGAAGGAGAGTCCCTAGAGTCTTATCTCCAATTAACCACAATAAAGCTGGAAGTAGAGCTGTGATTCATGTGATAGAGAACTAGCTTTGAACAAAAATGAGTTCAAGGGCAGTACCCAGGACCCACACAGAAGGAGAGAAGGGGAAGGAAAGAGAGGGGAAGAGAAAAAAGGAAAGGAAAGGAGAGGAGAGAAGAGGGGAGGGAAGGAGAGGGAGGAGACCCAGGAAAAATGTTTGGCAAGACCAGGAGAAGGAGAATAATAGTATGAATCTGAGCAATACATTATACATATATATGCATACATTTTATGCTTATATGGATATAGGGACATGTTAAAATGTAACCTTAAGCCCATATACATGAGGCAAAGCAGGACAGTGTATTAGAAACATTCACTGTTTTGCTGTTTGGACTCCATGAATGAGAAGAAAAAGAGGAATGGGTGATTAAATGGATGGACAGATGAAAGATGGATGGGATGGGATGGATGGATAGATAAATGGACAGATGGGTGGATAGATAGATGAACGGACAGATGGATGGATGGATGGATGGATGGATGGATGGATGGATGAATGAATGAATGAATGAATGAATGGACAGATGGGTAGATAGATGAATGGACAGATGGATGATGGATGGATGGATGGATGAATGGATGGATGGATGGATAGATGAGTGGGTAGATGGATATATAAATGGACAGATGGATGGATGGATGGATGGATGGATGGATGGATGGATGGATGGATGGATAGATGGATGGATGGATGGATGGATGGATGAGTGGGTAGATGGGTGGATGGATGGACAAGTGAGAGGTATTCTTATTTCAGTTGTACTTTCCCCTTTCTACATAGCCCAGCTAACTTCCAAAATTGTAAACTTTAATGTGACTTCAACACAGATAAGAGCCACTGGCTCATGAATTACCTCATTAAAAACTTCCTTCTTAATGCATGCAAAACAAAGTAAATGAATACCAGTAGGCCCTTTATTTCCTAGTGGATAAATGAACTCTGGTGGAATTCCTGTGGCTCTCAGCAATGAACCACATCAAAACCACTCAGAGAGGACAGGCCACCACACAACATGAAAGGAAAGTAGAGGCTTGCTGGAAACAGTAACCTTCAGTTGAACTTGAGATGAGAATTGTTTAAAAACTTTAAAAAAAGAGAATTTGCTCAATTTTAGCACTGGCTTAAAGGGAGAAAGGGATATGTGTTGACCAGCAACAAATGCAAGTCAAGTCACTGCTTTATTAAACCACGTAAAATAGTAATAAAACTAGTACTAATTTTTGACATTCTTAATAGAAAGCTGGGTAGACATACTTCTATTTGTGGACAAAAGAAAAAGAAAGTATGGAACAGTTCTGTTATCTATGAACTACAAAGAAAGAGTTTTCCTAAAAAAAAAAATCAGTTACCTATAAGGTCAAGAACACTGAAAAGTGGAAGGGAAATTTTCATGCTTTCTCATTTTATGTTATTAGAATTTATTTTTCAATTAAGTCTCTAGAAACAAGACCGGAATTTTACCACTCAGACTTTTCAGATTCCTTTTTTTTTTAGTTAATTTGTTGCTCTCTTCTCCTTTGAAACTAGAAAAGTTTTAGCTTTTCTTTTTCTCATTTGTCATTTTCTAAAATGTTGACATAAGAAAACACAGCTGTCAGAGGTGATACTGCACTTACACAAGCAAGTGCTAGGGAGATCTGGTATTTACACTCATCATCAAACCAGTGGAATATTTGGATCTCTCTTTTTCCTGGCCTAGTTCCAATATTTTCCCATTATTTTTTATTCCATGTATCATTATCTTTTTTCCTAGAGTCTCTGTCTCTCTGTCTCTGTGCCTTTGTGTGTGTGTGTGTGTGTGTGTGTGTGTCTGTGTGTGTGTGTGTTTGTATGTGTGCTGGTCCAGGGGCTTGAACTTAGGGCCTCACTCTCTGGCTTGGCTCTTCCACTCAGATCTCAGCCTTTTGAGTAGTAAGGATTAAAGGCAAAAGCCACCAGTACCCAGCACTCTGTGTTTGTCATACATCCAGAATCAGATTTTCTACAGGGAGAAGGAATCCTTGAATTTACAAAGAATGCTGAGATCTTTCATTTAGAACATTATGGAGACTAGTTAGAAACATCTCAATCCAAACTCATCCACTTTAGACACATACTCCCTCAACTAATTCATTTCTCTCTGGGTGGTAGAAACTATGTGGCATATGAGATCTGAGGATCACAGTTCGAAGCTAGCCCAGGCTGGCTTATCTCTTGTCTCCAATTAACCACCAAAAAAAATGCTGGAAGTAGAGCTGTGGCTCCAGTGGTTGAGAGCTAGGGTTGAGCTAAAAGGCTAAGGGAAATTGCCTAGGCCCCAAGTTCAAGACCCAGTACTGGCAAAAAATTATACAGAGAGACATAGATAGACATCGATAAATATAGATATATCTATAAAGATATGAATTTGTATCATATCTGCCCATTCCCTCGAATGGACTACAATTCACTATTGCTCTGAACGATCCATGTTAAAAATAATTTTTTACTGCAAATAAAGTATTACTGAGGCCAGATACTTAAAAGAAAAAAAAGATGTAAGAGATCCAGTTAGAAGCAATTCTATCCTTTCTAGTCCCATCTTGTTTCGTAAAAAACATCCACATAAAGTCCCTTCTAACTGGTTGCCAGGTAAGAATCATTCACTCTGAGTGAGAACTTAGATTCAGCCTTATAATAGCTTTTCATGATAAAGACAAGCAAATGTTTCCAACTATTGAGTCCCACATCCTAGTTTCTACAGAATAACCAAGAAAATATTTCTATCAGGACAGGACCTGAACTAATGCTTCCAGAAACAGGTTCTTTTCTCTCCTCACCAGTTCTGCGTGTGGAGAAGGCCCAGCAAAACTTAGATGTGATTGGGAGAATACCCAGATATCTTCTGGGTCAGCACTAGATCTTCTAGAAGTCAACAGTAACAACAACAACAACAATAATAATAATAATAGGAGCAACCACTTACGGGGCACTTCCTATGTCCCAATTAAATTATTTCCATGCATCGTTTCCCTGTTCTTACCAATCTGAGAAGGAGGCATTATTGTTCTCATTGTATAGAAAAGCTGAGCCGTGAAGTAAATGTCCCGATGCACACAGCTAAAAAGCAGTAGATTCCTGAGTCAGTACACTAGGGTCTGAGTCCCACGAACAAGCTAGAACAGGCAGGGCATGCGTACCTCCCACCTTGTCAGGGACTCCTGAGAAGCCACATACAGAGCCGATTCGCTTCAGATCTCCCCCCAGATCTGAGGCACCTGCTGTTGCTTGATCTACTCATCTGGCTTAAGAAGCCACTGCTTCAGGCCTCCTGTTCCCTCATCACAGCAGGAATTCTCACACCATCACACCCACGCTGTTAAGATGGAGCTTGCACAAAAAAAAAAAAATAGGTACAGATATTCAGGATGAGGGGGAACTGGCTTCGACTGCATTTCCAGCTACCATCTCAAGAACATGGATGACACAGCTAAGGACCTCATTCCCAGGTCCGCTACTCCAGGGTGAATCCTTTTCCTTTGGTCAGCTTGAACACCATCAGGTGACCCCAGCACCCAGTACGGGCCCAGCACCAGCTTCTCTCAGGCAAAGCGACACAAAGGGAGCCTTCACTCTGATTCCTCCACCCACCACCAAGAGAGAGAAAACAAGGCGCTGGGCTCTGGGGTGGAACGAGTTGGAGGACATCAGCAGGTGCCACACTTGAGACAATGAGCTTTACATTTCCAGACAAAACAATATCCAGCCCAGAGACCAGCGGTGACCCATGCAGAAATCAGAGATCCAAGAGGCAGAGAAAACGGCAGATGAAACTGTGAGCAGCTGGGAAGAGGGGAGAGCAGATCACTCAAGGATACATTCCCGGTCAGTTCACTGGACACAGCAAACAGGGAGTAAGAGATACACACCCACTCCCTGGCCCAATGGCACATAATTCTTCTTTGAGACCAACTTTAAAAGTTAAACTAAAAGTCAGGCACCAATGGCTCATGCCTGCAATCCAGGTTAGTCAAGAGGCTGAGATCCGAATGATCGTCATTTGAAGTCAGCTTGGTTATCTCCAATTAACTAGCAAAAACTTGGAAGTAGAGACGTGACTCAAGTGGTAAAGTGCCAGCCTGGAACAAAAGAGTTGAGGGACAGCACCCAGGCTGTGAGTTCAAGCTCCAGCACCAATACAAAGAGAAAAAAAAAAAGATAAACTAAGTTAGGAAATTTCAAAACACTGAGAACTTCCCCTAATCCTCAAATAACCAGACAATTTGGTTGTTTTTAGGAATTAAAAAAAATTGTCTCTCTATACCTTGCTTTTATCCCTCTATCTTCTGTGGGGCTTCTGCTTGTTTGTATAGGTTTTCTCTCCACTGTGGACCTTCATAATGCTCAAGTGAAAAGCCAGAATTTCTAAAGGTAAACACGTAAGATTACAGACCCATCCTTCAGCTCTGTGTCTACCCTCCACAGAGCCTTGCAGCAAGAATGCAGAACACAAAGGACTTCTTCCTAGTTACACAGCCCAGTCCACCCGGCTTACCTGGGCAGCTTTGCCTTCCTGTTGAAAAGGGAATTGGACTCAGAGACATGGCCGCAAGAAATCAATATGAAAAGGAGTGCATGCAAGTTAGACAAAGCTGGAGGGTGATGAGTGTTCTGCTGTTCTGTGCGGCACACACAGATTTGATGTGTGTGTATGTGTATGTGTGTGTGTGTGTATGTATGCACATGCACACACGTGCACAGGCACTCATGCCTATACTGGGGCTTGAACTCAGGGACTCGCTCAAGTTCTCATAGCCTGTTTGCTCACAGTTGGTGCTCTACTGACTTGCACCATAACTCCAGTTCAGCATTTTTTTTTTTTTGGTAGTTAATTATAGATGAAATCCTGTAGACATTCCTATCCCAGGCTGGCTTTGAACCTTGATCTTTCAGGTCTCAGCCTCTTGTGTAGCTAGGGTTATAGTTAGGAGTCATGGGCACCTGGCTCACCTCACAAACACACACACACACACACATTTGAATTCTCCAAGGCTTCACCAGCCCCTGCAAACCCACCCATTTCCAACCCTGGGAAATGACACCCCCCCCCCCTCACATCCTCTCACCATACTGGTGTCACCGCCAGGTGGAAGTGACGTCAGCAAATGGCATTGTTCCCCTCATGCCACATCTGACGGGTTCATTGGGAAATGGGAATTTGGGCCCAGGAGAAAGTGACTTCATATCTAACCTATACACAGGCCATTTTCTCCAACTTGATGTACACATTGCCACACACGCTCCTGCTCTTAAAATCCATATCCTCTATCAGCTATATGGATTTGGAACATGTTAAAAGAATTTGAGTCTAAGGGTGAGGGGGGGATGGAGAGAAATGAAATCCCCAAAGACAGCAGAGCCAGAAGAACCCTTCCTAGATTATTAAATCAGTCCTCTGTGTGTAGGCCTCACAGCACACATGGAGAACACAGGCTCTGCCCTCCGACTCAACTGTCTCTCCCTCCATCCATGGCATGACCACCTTCTCAATTCTCAAAACATGTGGCTGTGTTCCTCCTGTCTTGTGTGTGTGTGTGTGTGTGTGTGTGTGTGTGTGTGTGTGTGTGCCGGTCCTGATGCTTGAACTCCGAGCCTAAACACTATTTCTGAGGTTTTTTTGCTCAAGGATAGTGCTCTATCACTTAAGCCCCAGCTCAACTACTGGTTTTTTGCTGGTTAATTGGAGGTAAGAGTTTCATGGAGTTGGGCACTGGTGGCTCACACCTGTAATCCTAGCTACTCAGGAGGCTGAGATCTGAGAATCGCAGTTTGAAGCCAACCCTGGCCAGAAAGTCTATGAGACTCTTATCTCCAATGAATCACAGAAAAGGCCAAAGTGGTACTGTGGCTCATGTGGTAGAATGCTAGCCTTGAGCAAAAAAAGAGAGCCCAGAGTTCAAGCCCCATGACTGGGGGGGGGGGGGGGGGGGGGGGAATTCTCATGGACTTGTTTCCTTTTTCCAGCTCTGTCTGGCGTCACACCGTGAATTTTCAGATCTCAGTCTCCTGGGCAGTTAAGATTACATCCATGAACCACAAGGCCTGAGAATCTTTTCTTCTTAACTTTCTACCTTCAGTGCCCCTCAAGGACATTTCTTATCCCTCTGGTGAACTTCTGGGGCACAGAAAGGAGTTACTGATTCGGGGAGTCTGTCAGCTGGTGGATTGAGCCTCCTGACTTCCTTTCATGTTTCTCTTCAACTCCATGAAGCAGCAACTGCCGCTTCTGCGAGACCTGGGGTTCATTGGGCGTTCGGGTGCCAGGAGGTCAGGCAGGAAGCTTACCCAGCAGAATGAGCAGAACGCCTGCCAGCTGGGCCCGCCTGTACTTGGCCACGCCAGGCTCGTGGCCCATTCGGATGCAGGGGAGCACCGTCAGCAGGAGCAAAATGGCCGGCAGACCCAGAACCGAGGCAGCAATCATGAGCGCGCGGCAGGCTTGCACGTAACCTGGAACGAGAGCGCAGACAGGGTTCAGCAGCCAGTGGGCGTCTTAGAGCCCCAATCCCACGACACAGGAAATCAGCCCCATTGGCTTCTCTCCCATTCCTAGATTAAGCATGTGCTAAATTGCCCAAGATCCGTAGCACTTCTGCGGATCTTGTTGTGAAGCAACTCAAGGTTAAAAGGAGGAAAGGGCCAGGGCCGCCCATGGCGCAGGCCTATAATTTTAGCTACTCAGGAGGCTCATGAGGGTCTCAGTCCAAAGCCAACCCGGGCTGGCCAAATGCCAGAAATGGAACTGTGGCTCAAGTGGCAGCCCTGAGTGGAAAATCCACATGAGAGCGCCCAGGCCTTGAGTTCAAGCACTGCTACTAGCACAAAAAAGAAAGACAGAGAGACACAGAGACAGACACACAGAGAAAAACCATCAGAGATACAATATTTCTGTAGACTAAATCTGCCAAGGTCCTAAGAGGCTCTGACAGACTTCAGTTTCTTGCTTCACTTTTAAATTTACTTATTCTCATTATGACACTCTTCCCCCTCTTAAAAAAAAGTTGCCTTTATTATTTTCTCTGTTCAGGTAGAGTTAGTGCTAATAGTGGGAGTGAGGCAGACAGAGTTGGTGACAAAGTTAAGAAACGGACCACAGTTCTGTGTCACAGGCGGGAACCTCATACCAAACCCAGCCAATCTGTCTCAGGCACCAAATCTCAATTCCAACACTGTCTCTTAGCAAGGTAGGCTGTGCAAGAGCCTGTCTTTCAACCACTGCCCATCTCCACCTCAGTGTTAATGAGACTCAAGTACCTACTGACTTGGAGGCCCCCAGGGAGGAGCCCCAAGACTGGAGGCCCCACCCCTCCCTGCAGCTTGGAGGATGGCCAGAGTGGACACAAAGGAGCCCAGCAACAGTAGCAACCCAAGGTCTGAAAATCATGGCACAGCCTGTCCACATGCTACAGGGCCAAGTCTGTGCCTGGAAGCCAAAAGATGGAGACTGAGGACTGTCCCTGCCCCATCCAAAGTGTAAGGGAGGGGAGAGAACAAGAGATTGGAGGTCCGCCAGAAAATGTACTCCTCCTGCTCAGTTTAGCCTGTGTTCTCTGAAAGCAAACCACGCTGCGCTGAATGCAGCTCCGTGTGTCTCATTTTCAGAGGAAGGAGGCAGAAAATAATTTTATGCTACAGTCAAAGGTGTGTGTGTGTGTGTGTGTGTGTGTGTGTGTGTGTGCACCAGTACTGGGGTTTAAACTCGTGGCCTAATTTCTGTCCCTTAGCTTTTTTTTCTTTTTTTTAAAGAAAACTTGGTGGAGTTACATTGAGTAAGGAAGCAGACAAGCAGACAAAAAGCAGACAAGGGCACACTAACACTGTGGGTGCTCTCAGGGGGAGACAGAGGCAGAGAGAGAGAGAGAGAGAGAGAGAGAGAGAGAGCGCACTCCCTTAGCTTTATGACTCAAGGCTAGCATGCTACCATTTCCAGCTTTTTGGTGGCTAACTGTAGATAAGAGTCTCACAGGCTTTCCTGCCCCGGCTGGCTTTAAACTGTGATCCTCAGATCTCAGCCTCCTGGGTAGCTAGGATGACAGGCGTGAGCCACCTGGGTTTTTGCCTGTATAGAAAATTCGAGCTACCATTTATGGAGCAGCTACTACCTTCAAGGAAGTCCTGGCTCCGTTTTTAAAGCGATTCTAATATTTAGAAGAAGACAGCGCCTTAGGTTAACACGCAGTCCTAGGTCATTTGGTTTTCTGCCCGGGGTCCTAGCCCGGTTTACCAAATCCACAACTCGGAAGGTGACTCCAGGCCGGGCGCGCCCAGTCTCCGTGCGTGACGATCGGGACTAGAGAGGAGGGTGGGGACCCACGGGGACCCTGAAAGGGTGCGCAGAGGCAGGACACCGCTTGTAATACGAGAGCCTAGCTCGAGAGCACGGGAATCCAACGGAAGATGAGAGGGGACAGGGTCGCGATCGCGAAGCTAGCGGGAAGGAGGAACTGGCGCCATCTGTCAGGTCTGGGGAGCATGCGCAGAGCGGCGGGCCCCCCAGCCCCGCACCTTCACCGCTGAGAGTCTCCGCGTCCTCAACGCCCGCCGGCCACGCCGCCGGCCAGCGCCCCGGCTGGGGCGGGGCGAGCGTCCGTCCGCGGGGCGGCGAGGACCCTGGCTATATTCACCCGGCCGGGGTGTGACTTCAAACCGGCGCCGGGCCGGGACGCTGGCCGCGCGGGCGGCGTCGGGGCGGCCGCGGTCGCTCCGCTCTTCCCCCACCGTTCCCCTCGGATCCGCGGGTGCAACCTTCAGGGGTCAGGGCTGTGTGCGGGGAGGATGCGGGGCCCGGGCCGTCGGGGGAGGGGGGGGACGCGGGGGAGTTGTTTGCGGTGAGTAGGGCGACGGCGATGCTCCCGGACGGAGCCCCACCGGCCAGATCCCCGCTATCACCCCCCAATTCGTGCGTCCTTCGGGGCTTAGTGGAGCTGGGGGGGGGGGTCAGACATGAGTCCCCAGGTCTCTGAACGCGCCCCTCACCGATGTTTCTAGAAGGTTTGTCTGTTGCCCCACCGCCGTCCCCACGGCTGGATTCTGAGCAGACCCCTGCGGGGGGGGGGGGTGGAGGGCAGGGGGAGGCCGCCGAGGCCCCGGAGAGGACTTACCCGGCAGGATGAGGATGTCCACCAGGGGCTTGCAGTGGTACAGGCCCGTGGCCATCACGCAGTCGGCCCACAGCCCCTTGGAGCCCAGCTCGTCCAGCTTACGGCAGGTGGGGATGGTGTAGCCGCAGGTCACCACCCAGTCGTTGGTGGCCGTGGTGACGATGACGCCGATCCAGCCCACGAAGCTCGTGACAAAGCCCACCACCTGCAGGCACGTGGCCACCATGGTGGCCGCCGCGACGTCGTGCCCCGCACGCGCGCGCGCCTCGAGCCTGGCTGGCTGCGCCCCTGCCCCGGGCTGGACGGCGCCGGCCCCGGTGCGCCCTCGACGCGCTGGCGGGCGGGCGGACGGGCGGGCGGGCGAACCTGCAAGCGGCCTGGACCCGGCTCCGACGACGGGGACGGCGGGGACGGCGGGGACAGCGGCCAAGCGCCGCAGCGCCCCCGCCCCCTCTTTAAAACCCCGGGGCCCCGGACCGTGAGCGCCAATCGGAGGCGGCCGCGGGTGGAGACGGCCAATCGCGGGGCGGGGTGTGGACGGGGCGCCCCGCCCCCTCTTTAAAATCCCGTGCCCCCCGGACAGCGAACGCCAATCGGAGGCGGCCGCGGGTGGAGATGGCCAATCGCGGGGCTGGTTGTGGGGGTGCCCCGCCCCCGCCCGGCGGGGAAGAGTGTGCAGGGCGCGGGGCGCGGGGCTGGGGGGGGGGGGGCGAATCCCGGGGTGCGACGTGGGGGCGAGGGGCGAGCCCCTCGGGACGCTGAGAGGTCTTCCCCTCCGGTCCGCGTCTCGGGGCCTCCGTTTCCCCTCCCGTGCCTTGTCTCCAGTCAGAGGGCTCCGCGGGCGCCCCGATGTCAGCCACCGCTACCTGCTACCGGAGGCTGGGCAACCAGCGCCCCGCGGTAACCGGCATGGGGAGCGGGGCTCCTCTCCAGAGGGAGCCCAGGCCTCAGGCGGCCCCGCGCGGCCGCGTGGCCCACTGCGTGCGTGCGTCTCTCAGGAACGGACGGCCAGGTTCTGAGCACCTCCACACCTCGGGAGCCCGGCGGGCTGCACACAGGTTCCCGCCCGGCCCTAGAGAGAGACACAGCACCGCCTTGTCTGAGCATTCAAGAAAGCCCTCTTTGGCCAGGGCTGGTGGCTCACTCCTGTCTGTAGTCCTGGCTGCTTGGGAGGCTGAGATCTGAGGATCCCATTTCAAGGCCAGTCCGGGTAGGGAACTCCCTGAGACTCTTATCTCCAATTAGCCACCAAAATGCCGGAAGTGGGGTTGTGGCTCAAATGGTAGAGCACTAGCCTTGGACACAAAAGCTCAGAGACAGCATCCAAGACCTGCACCCAAAAATAAGCCCTGTTTAAAGGGGTTGAGAACGTGATTCAAGTCTAGGCCCTGACAAATGGGAGGCCCTGAGGTCAAAGCCCAGTGCTGCCAAAACAGAACCAAAACCCAAAATAATTCAGTCCTCTTTATCTGCATCTTTCCATCACGTAGAAAAGACCTCTTTGAATGGTGTTTATCTTAATAATCTTTTTCTCTCCTTTGTGTGTGGGGGGGGGAGGGGAGGGGTAACTGCCCATTAGCTTTTTCCACTCAAGACTGGTGAGCTACCATTTCAACCAGATTTCCACTTCCAGTTCTTTGGTAGTTGATTGGAGATCAGAGTCTCACAAACATTCACAGGCTGGCTTGGAGACTCAATCCTCAGACCTAAGCCTTCTAAGTAACTAGGATTGCAAGCAAGGGCCTCCAGTGCCAAGCATCTTAATCTATCCCTTGATCAGTTCATCTGGGCCACTGCTTCCCGCCCCCCCCCCCACACACACACCTCAATTAATCAATTTGAAAGTGTGAAGGATTTTAGCAAGCACATAAACTTCCTGCTGTATCTTCTAAAACCTGAGAGATGGGTGGCAAATCATGAGAACTGAGTGTCCCTTCGTCATCGTTTCTGATGCTGGGGTCATTACAAGTCAACTCTTTAAGAGATTAGCCTTGAGAAGAGTATCTGTTTCCATGGAAACAGCAAAGAAACAAAATGCCCAAACAGAACCGCCTCTGTGATGGACGCCAGTGGGAGGATCGCAGTGATCACTCAGGAGCCAAGTGAATTACAGAAACAAGCCAGCCTCTACTACTTGGAAAGAGATGAAGCTAAACAATTAGGTTATTATTAGCATTATTGAATAAGAGAAGTCATTACATCGATGTGTAATGAACAAAAATGCTACTTTGGGATGTCAGAAAGATGTAACCTGTTTAAATAAATGAGCTGTAAAGAGAGAAAAGGTATATCTATTCAAAAGGAAGTCAGATGAACATAGAAGCCCAGAAAACTTGAAGCCACGGGTTAGACAGAAGCAGAGAGAATCCTTTGCTATCAGCAGCACCTGCTCTCTGCTCTTAGGCTCTGAACTCAGGTCCACAGCAAGCTGCTCTGTACAGTAAATCGCTGAAACCAACCAGTGCTAAAATCATCCACATGCCTGTCTGTGCTGTAACTCTACTCCTCAAGCCCTTCTGATTAGGACCAGCCTTTCCACACCCACACAGCCCCAGATGCCCTTTCAATGTGGCAGTGAGTCTCTCTGTACACAGGAATCCCAGATCAGACTAGCCAAACACAGGAAGACCTCAGTTCGTTTTTCTCTTGGGAAACTGTATTGTGCCACCTCCTCACAATCCATAACAAAACTAGAAATGGATGAATGAGATCTGATTTCAGGACTTCTGACCCTGAGCCCAGTGTTCTTTTCATTAGGGAAAATGTGAGTCTATGACTTAGCAAATGATTCTTCATCATTGTTACTTGAAGTTATTTCAAGAGGATGAGTAGAGGGTCAGTCAAATGTTCCAAAACGCAGATGTGTACTGAACAAAGAAAAGGTCAGGGCTAGCTCTTTTTCTACCATTTGCATCTAAAAATAGCAGACCAACTAGAGCTGCTAATGCAGGTTGCAAGGCAAAGACTCCTACTTGCCAAGCTACAGTCCCTCCGAGAGCACTCGGCCAAAGGAGTGGGCTATTAGCGCCCACTAGTGGTTGTCTTTGATCATTGCATGCTGGTTTTAAAAAAAAGACAAAACATTTCCTGTCTTGCACAGAAACAATTTCAATATGCCAAATAATAATTAGACTTAACTGCAAGATGCATTTGTCTATGACAGTCTTCTTCGTGTCCTGAAGAAAGTACACCTCCTCAGGAAACCAAACATGAGATCTGAAGATGCATATGAAAGTACTTATGTAAGATTACTCATTTACAAATCAAGTCCTTCTAATAGGACCTCTTTTTAAAGATAAATTGTGATTTTTAAATATTTGATAACACAGAAACTCCACATGTACATATTTTTAGAATCAGAGTACAAATTCACAGCATAGAGAATATGTCAAAATGAGCGAGAGACAGAGACAGAGAGACAGAGAGAGAAATTGAGTTTGCAAAACTCCAAGTTTTGCTAGGGTGGCAATATAAAGGCACATAAGGAAGAAAAGTGAAACCTCTAGACAAATAGAGCTTTCTCAATGGGAAAGGTATGTACTGCTCACCTCTCAGTTTTCAAAGTCCTTAGTTACTTCCAGGCACCAGTGGCTCACACCTGTAATCCTAGTTACTCAGGAGGCTGAGATCTGAGGATTGTGGTTCAAAGCCAGCCCTCACACCAAAGCCCATAAGACTCTTATCTCCAGTTAACCACCAGAAAACTGGAAGTGGTGCTGTGGCTCAAAGGAGTAGAGCTCCAGCATTGAGAAAAAAAAAAAAAAAAAACCTCAGGGACAGTACTCAGACCCTGAGTTCAAGACCCATGACCAATTTTTTTTAAAGTCCCCAGTTATAAGGTGAACTAAGATGAGTATAGTTGTCAAAGTAGATAGTTTGAATGTATGAAAATAGAACAGTGAAACCTGTTGAAATCATGTTAGGAAGGGGGAGGGGAGAGACTGAATGGAATATATTATAGGCATGGGTGACAATGTTACAATGAAATCCCCCATGTTAACTAATGTGTGCCAAATAAAACAAGAAGAAATGCTTTGCAGTTATCTTGAGATTCTGGCCAACTCCACCAGCAAAATATGTCACATTTACATAATACTTCCATCTAGGACTTCAGATTTAGCTACTAACCCTAGCACAGTGGTGCTTGCCTGTAGTTCCAGCATTCATTAGGCTGAGATGAGGGAATCACTAGAGCCCAGAAGTTTAAAGATTAGCTAGGAAAACTTAGAGATACTCCACAGGAGGAAAGAAGGAAAGAAAGACAAAGAAGGAAATGGAAGGGAGGATAGAAGGGAGGGAGGGAGGAAGGAAGGAAAGAAATAAAAGTCAAGCTCAGCACTATGTGACTCTCACACCTATATCAAAAAACTGAGATTTGAGGATCATGGTTCAAAGCCAGCCCAGGTAGGAAAATCTGTGAGATACATATTGCCAATTAACCACCAGAAAACCGGAAGTGGTGCTGTGGCTCAATGTGGTAGAGCACTAGCCTTGAGCACAAAAGTTCAGGGATAGCACCCAGGCACTGAGTTCAAGTTTATGACTGACAAAAATCAAATCAAATAAAAATGAACTACTAGAGAAAAATGTCTTTCAAAGTCCCATTTTTTGGCCTTCATCGTACATTAATAATACAATCACTACAGAAGCCATTTTATCCCAAATTTGTCCTCCTTCTGCTTGTAGATAAGCCAAAATCATGAACAAACATAATGAAATAATGTTTCAGGTTTGAGTCTTCTCGCCTGGTGTGTGTGTGTGTGTGTGTGTGTATGTGTATATGTATGTGGGTAGATGTGTGTATGTGTGTATGTATGTACGTATGTATGTGTAATATGTATGTATATGTATGTGTGTGTGTATGTATGTATACATGTGTATGTATATGTATCTGTGTGTGTATATATGTATGTGTATGTATGTATCTGTGAATATGTATGTGTGCATGCATATGTGTGTATGTGTATATGTGTGCCTGCATGTATGTGTGTGTGTGTGTGTATGCATGTATGTATGTGCATGTGTGTGTTGATACTGAAGCTTGGACTCAGGGCCTCCAGCTCTCACTTAGCTTTTTTGCTCATAACTGGCACTCTACCACTTGAGCCACACCTCCACATCTGGCTTTTTGGTGGCTAATTGGAGATAAAACTCTCATGGACTTTCCTGCCCAGACTGGCGGTTCTCAGCCTTTTGAGTAGCTAGGATTCTAGGTGTGAGTCACCAGCTGTCAGCTTCTATTTACCTTCATCATAACTGTGAGAAATAAGTCTCACATGTATGTA